GCCAATCTTTTCATTTTATAAATAAGGAAACTGAGGCCCAGAGAAGAGTTGCTTCACATGACGGTAACTAGTAGTTTAGCTAAAACCTAGAACACGTCTGTCCTCTTCCAGCTGTTTCATATCAATAATCTTTCAATCTTAACAGTGCAGAATACAGACAAGTGACAGGTGTCCACAATATATAATTAATATGTGACATTTCACTAGCATCCTGTAGAATTTCACCCTATTTTGAAATTCTAAGTAGGAAAATTACTTACCTGGCCTATACACAATCTACAGTTCCTTTGTAACTATCAATGTAGGTATTACAAAAATCTTATTTTAACAGTACATATATAAAAATTTTCAAATACTAATATAAGATTTCAAGGATTCCCTAGATAGTGTTCTTTTTGGTTTGTCTTGTTTGAGATAAGGTCTCACTATGTACCCAAGGCAGTCTGAATCTTAGAATGGCGTTTAGGCTGGTCTCTCATCTCCCTGCCCCAGCCTTCCAAGGGCTGGGGTTATAGGCCTGTACCACCTTGCCTGGCAACAGCCTTATAAGTAATCATGAAAGCCCTTTTAACTAACAGTCTCATTTTGAAGTTACAAACAGAAAAAAAAAATTAACAACTACGTCTAATTATTGTACAATTTGTAGCAAAATAGTATAAAGCCAAAATAAATGAATTACTATATTGTATTTTCTGTTTGTAGCTGTAAGACTACTTGTTTTTTTCTCTCATGGGAATGTGTATAAATCAAGTTAAAAACAACCCTCAAAAGGTACCTCTTTAACAAGGTGATTGACAGACTGCTGCCCGCCTCCGGAGCCCCACACACTGTCTTTACGCCTTCCCCCTTTAGACATACTCAGCAGTACAGTGGCCTTATCCAGAGCAGCTCTGCAAAAAGAGAAAAGCAAAGTTTAATTCTGATACCTACACATGCCTGAATTTTGCTAAATTATGGATAAAACTGACAAAATCCCATATGTACTGAAAACTTCCATAAATATGAAAGCAATGTAAAATTCAAAACTCCTCTTAAAAAACTATTTTTCAAACTAAAAAGTAGGGAGCAAAAAAAAGTTGATTCTCATTAATAGTCACATGCTCTATTACTTCCATTTCTTGGTCATGAAAACTCCAAAGATATTATAAAATAATTACACCAAAAAGAACATTTCACATATAACTAATCTTTATCTAGATCCATGCCTTTCCAGCAAGACCTTTACTATGACCTGAAGTAACCCTAGGAAATAAAGTCAATATATAGCCTAAGACATGGCTAAGTCCAAATTTAAATATCCATGAAGAAAAATCATACAGTGTAAATTCCAAATATCACATTGAGCTTAAAATGAGTTATAGCAAAGAATAAGCATCAAAGAAATGATTTTCTAAGAAAAAACATATGCAGATAAAACACAAAATTGTAAATGAGACTTCTATACTGTTATCCATCTTAATAGAATATTCAATAATTTCAGAATGTTAGAACCTGAAGGGACCTTAAAGAACTATTCTATAGCCAATCTTTTCATTTTATAAATAAGGAAACTGAGGCCCAGAGAAGAGTTGCTTCACATGACGGTAACTAGTAGTTTAGCTAAAACC